GACAGGGCTAATATTGGGGATTGGGGGCTGGTATGGGGAAGGGGTGTGGGGGGGATTGAGTGCAGTGGGGCTCTGGGAACAGGAGGCTGACACTGGGAGGTATGGTGGTAGTGGGGCTCTAAGCCTCAAGGGGCGGGGGGGATAGTAGAGCTGAAGCTGGCTGTTCACAGCAGCTCTGGAGGCTGGGGCTTTTAGTAGACCAGTAACATTTTATTTGCACATTCATTATTTGCATAATGAATATGCAAAGAGTGTTACTGGACCGCCAAAAGTCTGTAAATGGGTTTGCCAGTACACTGTATAAAAAAGGTTGGAAACCACTGAGAGAGATTACTTGAACTATATGCCTTTTCCATATTCAGAAATGGAATCTTACTGTGATTTAAATGAGTGGGGCTGCTGTGTGTGGGGGGGGGGGGTAAAATTAAATTAAGGCATTAAAACAAAGTATTTTACAAAACTATAGTGATAGCTAAACATTAATAATAAAAATGTTGGATGTTATCACCACAAATGACTATTTTTGTTTTAATTCACTGATTATCTAAAAAAAATTGTTTTTTAGTGATGAAGTGGGGCCAGACTTCCAAGTGAATTTTGAAGTGTATAGTTGCTGTACAGACCAATCTTCAACTATAATTAACACTCCTAAGAAGCTAGCCAAGAAGCTTAAGACATCCATTGGAAAAGCTACAGGAAAAAAAATCAGTTCTTTGTTAGAAGAAGACAACCCTGAATCCCTTTCATTCCTTGACCCAATGATACGGTAAGCTACTCTCTTATTTTTAGCCTTCAAGAAATACAATTATCTTGTAATTGGAAATTGCTGATAGAAGTATTTCAACATATGCCCATGTGAAACTGTTTTCATTTCAAACGACAATCAGAGAGCAGCATTCTATATGAACTATGCTGAATTCTTATTGTGATTTTTTTTTTTTCCCCCTTCCTAGAAAAAAGAACAAAAACTCAGTGTTCTGAGATTTATAAGCCCAAATTTGCCAAAGGATCCATCTGCACTATAAAACTTACTGTCATTGCTCTGCATTACTACATGGCCTACTCTTTCTGAATAGAAAGCATCTATACAAATATTAAAAAACCATATTACAGCCCTGCTAGAATATGTGGTTTGGTCCCTGCTACAAAGATAAACCAACGTGTAGAACACAGAGTGCTATAAAACTTTGTATATGGCCTTTGACTAGCATGAAAAAACAGACCAGGCTAAGTACTAAATATGTTTTGAAGCATAATGGCATATTGGCTACAAAAGTTAATAAAATAGTTTTTCAAACTAGAATAAATGCAAAAGAAAATACTCAAGTTAGTTTTAGTGTAAGTGGAGAACTGAACTTGGCAGTCATAACCCGAGTATCCCCACAAAATAATTATTTAATGGCATCTAATGCTACAATTAAAGTCCTTTAGAATGGCTATGTGCAAGCAATGTGAATACATGATCAACTGGAATATTCACAAAAAGATACACAAACTATTTTGTGGGTACAGTATCACAAAAAGTAAAAAATGGGAATATGTGGACTCTTGGTAATTAGCTGAACTTGGTGGCCATTAACAAGTGCTGCCTATAAATTAACCATTCCACGGTATCTGAACATGCTAATGCTAAAATTGTCTAGACTTCTTATAATAACTGCCTAAGAAAAATCATGTAGAAATATGTAACCCTTGCTTCATTTTCACAGTGGTGCAAAATACAGTTTGCTGGCACATACCAGTTTGGGGTTGGAGAGTGTTGAGGACAGTTTCAGGACCCACAACCTTACCATTACAGGAAATGGTAAGTACACAGGGTTCTAATTTAAAGATGTTTTTTAAAAAGTTAATAAAATCATGTATCTCCATTTTTAGTAAACTATAAGGCTTCCAAGACTTAGATTATTTTATTGATACTTTATATGTGGCAATTGTACTTTAAATAAAATGCTTCAACTATTTTAAACACGTGTCACCAATTAAATTGAAAAAAGACATGTAAAACTTCTCTCTAAGTTCAGATCCAAATTTTACATCACTTTTATAGTAACATTTTTTGCCAACTTTAATATCTTCTGATCCCTTATCAAGGAAGAATTTAGCAAGGCTTTTGATACGGTCTCCCACAATATTCTTGCCATCAAGTTAAGGGAATATGGATTGGATAAATGGACAGTAAGATGGATAGAAAGCTGACTGGAAGGTCAGGCCCAGCGGGTAGTAATCAACGGCTCGATGTCAGGATGGCGATTGGTTTCTAGCAGAGTGCCCCAAGGTTCGGTTCTGGAACCAGTTTTGTTCAACATCTTTATTAATGACCTGGATGAGGGGATGGATTGCACCCTCAGCAAGTTTGCAGATGACACTAAGCTAGGGGGAGAGGAAGATACACTGGAGGGCAGGGATAGAGTCCAGAGTGACTTAGACAAATTGGAGGATTGGGCCACAAGAAATCTGATGAGGTTCAACAAAGACAAGTGTAGAGTCCTGCACTTGGGACAGAAGAATCCCAAGCATTATTACAGGCTGGGGACCAACTGGCTAAGTAGCAGTTCTGTAGAAAAGGACCTGGAGATTACAGTGGATGAGAAGCTGGACATGAGTCAACAGTGTGCCCTTGTAGCCAAGAAGGCTAATGGCATATTAGGTTGCATTAAGAGGAGCATTGCCAGTCGATCCAGATATGTGATTATTCCTCTTTACTCAGCTCTGGTGAGGCCACATCTGGAGTATTGTGTCTAGTTCTGGGCCCCCAAATACAGGAAGGATGTGGATGCATTGGAGTGCTACCAAAATGATTAGGGGGCTGGAGCATATGACCTACGAGGAGAGGCTGAGGGAGCTGGTTCTATTTAGTCTGCAGAAGAGAAGAGTGAGGGGGGATTTAATAGCAGCCTTCAACTTCCTGAAGGGAGGTTCCAAAGAGGCTGGAAAAAGACTGTTCACAGTAGTGATGGATGGCAGAACAAGGAGCAATGGTCTCAAGTTGTGGTGGGAGGTCCAGGTTGGATATTAGGAAAAACTATTTCACTAGGAGAATGGTGAACCTCTGGAATGAGTTACCTAGGGAAGTAGTGGAGTCTCCACCACTAGAGGTGTTTGAGTCTCTGCTTGACAAAGCCCTGGCTATGTTTATTTATTTGGGATTGGTCCTGCCTTGGGCAGGGGGCTGGACTTGATGGCCTTCTAAGGTCTCTTCCAGCTCTATGATTCTAATACTTGTAGGGATTTTTTGGTTTGTATTTTATACTTCTTATTCTGTAGGTATGGAAATCTTTAAGGGCACGTCTACACTACATGGAAGATCAGTGCTTCCACAGTTGATCATCTGGGCTATGTCTAGACTGCAGGCTTCTTTCGAAAGAGCCTCTTTCGAAAGATCGCGTCTAGACTGCAGGCGGATCTTTCGAAAGAGAAATCCGCTTTTTCAAAAGAGAGCACCCAGCGAGTCTGGATGCTCTCTTTCGAAGACGGCCTCTTTACATTGAAGAACGCCTTCCTTCGAAAGAGGAACTTTCGAAGGAAGGCGTTCTTCCTCGTGAAACGAGGTTTACCGCCATCGAAAGAAAAGCCGCGTTCTTTCGAAATAATTTCGAAAGAACGCGGCTTGAGTCTGGACGCAGGGGAAGTTTTTTCGGGAAAAGGCTACTTTTCCCGAAAAAACCCCTGAGTCTGGACACGGCCCTGGAGTTCCATTTAGTGGGTCTATTCTAGGCCTGCTAGATTGAACTCAAAGGGCACCCTTGTCAGCACCAGTACTCCTTCTCCTCATAAGGAGTAAGGGAAGCAGAGAGGAGCATTTGCTTCCATCAGCCTCCTACTGTACGAATGGCATGGAAATGTGATGTAAGATTAATTTACGGTAGCTGGAATGCATAACTTACTTCAACCTTCCCATGTAGCTGGAGAATGTCAACAGCTTCCCCTATCTCGGAAGCTATCTGTCCAGCAATGTTGACATTGACAATGAAATCCACTACCGACTCTCCAGTGAGGCTTGTGGACTTTTACGGAGGCGAGTCTTCAATGACTCTGACATCAAGATGCAGGCCAAGATGCAGTGCTTTTGTCATTCCAACGTTGTTGTATGGAGCTGAAGCCTGGACTCCCTATAAACGTCATATTAAAGATCTGGAGAAATTCCACCAAAGGTACCATGAGGAGAATATTGCGCAGCATGTGGCAAGACAGACGGACTAATATTAGTGTCCTTGCAGAGGCTGATTCATAAGAACATAAGAATGGCCGTACTGGGTCAGACCAAAGGTCCATCTAGCCCAGTATCCTGTCTACCGACAGTGGCCAGTACCAAGTGCCCCAGAGAAGGTGGACCGAAGACAATGATCAAGCAATTTGTCTCCTGCCATCCCTCTCAATCCTCTGACAGACAGAGGCTAAGGACACCATTTTATCCCCTGGCTAATAGGCTTTTATGGACCTAACCTCCATGAAATTATCCAGCTTCTCTTTAAACTCTATTATAGTCCTAGCCTTCACAGCCTCCTCTGGCAAGGAGTTCCACAGGTTGACTACACGCTGTGTGAAGAAGAACTTTCTTTTATTAGTTTTAAACCTCCCCATTAATTTCATTTGGTGTCCTCTAGTTCTTCTATTTAGGGAACTAATAAATAACTTTTCTTTATCGGCCCTCTCCACACCACTCATAATTTTATAAACCTCTATCATATCCCCCCTCAGTCTCCTCTTTTCTAAACTCTTTTCTATTCCTGCAGCACTGAGGCAATAATTGCCCAAGGGTAGCTATGATGGTCTGGTCACATGGTCAGGATGCCTGACATACATTTGCCTAAAAAGATTTTTTCTATTGCAAGCACTCAGCTGGGACAAGGTTTCGTGGTAGGCAGAGAAAGCACTACAGAGATATCCTTAAGAACACCTTGGTAAAGTGCAACATTGGGAGACATCTGAGAGATGCAGGTGGAGGATTGAGTAACCTGGAGGACCACCATCAAGAACGGTGCCTGACTTTGAGATCAAGTGTTATCTCCATGAAGATCAGAGAGTCGTCCATAAGGAAAATGCTTGGGCCCGCATCGGCACTGATAGTGTCGGCACCACTGGAGATGACCTCAGAAGCAGCCATTGCCAGAGAGTGTTCCTTGCCAGAATAGGCCTTATTTCTCATCTTCGCACTCAACAGTTCTAGGTGTCCAAGGGGAAAACTTTCTCTCTCTCTCTCTCTCTCTCTCTCGGATCCCTCGAATCAGGTATGTCTACACTACAAAGTTAATTCGAACTAACAGACGTTAGTTCGAATTAACTTTCATAGGCGCTACACTAGCGCTCCGCTAGTTCGAACTTAATTCGAACTAGCGGAGCGCTTAGTTCAAACTAGGTAAACCTCATTCTACGAGGACTAAGCCTAGTTCGAACTTACTAGTTTGAATTAAGGGCTGTGTAGCCCCTTAATTCGAACTAGTGGGAGGCTAGCCCTCCCCAGCTTTCCCTGGTGGCCACTCTGGCCAACACCAGGGAAACTCTTCTGCCCCCCTCCCGGCCCC